GACAGAGAGACAGAGAGAGAGAGAGATAGAGAGAGAGAGAGAGAGAGAGAGAGAGAGAGAGAGAGAGAGAGAGAGAGAGAGAGAGAGAGAGAGAGAGAGAGAGAGAGAGACAGAGACAGAGACAGAGAGAGAGAGACAGAGACAGAGACAGAGAGAGAGAGACAGAGAGAGAGAGACAGAGAGACAGACAGAGAGAGAGAGACAGAGAGAGAGAGAGACAGACAGAGAGAGAGAGAGAGAGACACCTTGCGTTATTCAAGGACGACCATGCATGTGCGTGTGTGTGTGTGTCAGATTCAGCGTTCACGTGTGGCATAGTGAAGCTGAATCACATTTGAAAATAAGACTCGTGTATACGTATGTGTAGGGGATGAGGTGGGGGAGGAGTGGAGCAGCGTGCTATTGTTGGGGGCTTGACCCTTCCTCGCAAAGGCCAGAGCCTCTGGCTTAGGGTCGGTCTGCCTCTATTCCTGACTCCTGGTCTTGCGCTCCTTCAGATGTGGCAGAGTCCGTGGGGCGGCAGCATCGTCAAGCTTGGTTCCGCTCGGAAGCGCCACACGGCCCACCGGCGACTGGCCAACCGTCATGACACTAGCTGTGTCATCGCGCTGGCGACGCCCATAGATGACTGCCTGCGCACGAACATTGCAAAGGACTGCCACATTATGCTGACCCTTGTTTTTTTTGTGTTTTTTCTTTTTACATTGTTAACACTCTCATCAATTGCGGATCGCTGGGTCAGCGTCATAGTGGCGCTCGCTGCCATCATCCTCATCATCCCCATCGTCACCCGGCAGACCCACACAGAGCCCGCTACAAACGTATCACGGCCAAATTCAGTCGACGCTCCCAATCACCGGAAATGTGCATTTGGTTTGACAAGTGCCTTCCCTGTACCGTGCTGTAGTGAATGACCAACCACAGGCGCTCGTCTCGCCCCTGCCCTTTCTACCACCCAGTTCTACCAGACCCTCGGCTGCCATGGTCACACAAAAAAAAACAAAAAAAAAAAAAAACAGTCACACACACACACACACACAAAAAGGGGCGCTTCGATGTCAGACGATTTTTTAAAGTTAGTATCACACTTCAAGCTACACTAAAGTATGATAATATTACACATTAAAAGTGCAAGAACTGGATGTTGCGAGAATGAGCACAGCAACACGACTGCAAGCCACATGCCCCTTGGTGTTACCAAATGTTAGTGTTATGGCAGTCGGTGGGGGGGGGGGGTTATGGCGGCGCGACGGTGGTGCAATAACGGGGCGGTGCGAGGACGGGCGTGGGAAGCAGGCGGTGTCTGGGGAATCGGGAGGCAGGCTTTCAATGAAGGGGTGTGTGCACGAGTCGGCTTGTTGAGTCGGCGCTCAAGCTGTTTGGTTGTGTGCATCATCTTTTCCCAAAGCTTCTCGTTCATTTTTTTCACTTGACGAGTAGTCAACAGGTCGGTAGCGCAGGCTGTCGTGGCTTCTTCTCTCGGCTCTCTGCCCTTGTGCGTGCTGCGGCTGCTTTTGGTGGCCGGTGGCTCGATGAGCTGAGAAGAATTGACTCGAGTGCCCTGCGGTTGCCCAACGGCTCGGCT